TTTTTAGACCGATGAGCTTTGTAAAAATCGATGCGTTTCAGAAAGGTGGGGCATAGAGGAGAAACAATAATGTACAGTATGTGGAAAATAATGTGTTTTTTGAACCTTAAACCGCATAAACACATTTCATTACACCAAATACACAAAATAATGTTATTTTTAGCAGCATCATATGACCCCTTTAACAATTTTGTAGTAACTGTACTGGTTACAGCTTCCATTACATTATCTTTGTGGGCAATACATAGATGGTGAATGACATTAGGCATCCTTATTTTATGTTAAAAGGACATTTTCTTTAAAAAATCTCCAACCCAACACATTCATTCACCCAATAAAATCTGTATTGGAGTTTTGTGACTTTTAGTCCATGTGAGTAAACTTTAAGCCACCTATCGACTATTTAAGTCGACTATCCTGAGCTGTGACGTCAAACACAGCAGAGGGAAAAATATAAAAGTCACACTCGCCAAACATCTACTATAAAATAAAGAAATGCATTTGCAATTTATATGTTGTTTGACAAAATAAATAAATAAATAAATAAAATAATAATAGTCAGAATACTAAGCTACTTTTGAATGGACAAATATGGCTGTTATCCCCACAATGGTGTAGTTACAGCATCTACCAGCAGGGGCTAAATGCTCAATAGGAAATACATCAGCACAGCAAAACTGTGCTTGTGAAACCAGAGTTCTTTAATACCCGCTAGCGAAGGATAACAGGTCTTCAACTGTTTCACCTTGAATAGTTCATTGTAAATTAAGCCAAATTGAACATGATGAAAGCATATAACACAGAGACATAGACAGACCCCCAGTGCAAGCACATCTAAAATGTGTAACCTTAGTGGTGGGGATACCCTTCTTTAAAAAAAAACACATCAGAGGAGGAGAGGAGCAGAGGGCGTCTTCAAGGTTATTTGGGTTCCCTGAGGGGTTTCAGTCGTTGTAGTACAGTTTCACTGTGCATCACCATGTTCATGTGGCTGTGAGAACCGTTGCGTACAGTATGCAAAACTTGACATTTATTTAAAAAGGTGGGGGGGGGAGTCAGTCTGGAAATTACTGGAGCATTAAAGCTGTAACTGTTAAACGATCTACCAGCAAAGCCCCCCAACAAATACACACCAAACGGTTGGCATTGTGCACTTAAAAATGAAATTTGTAAATTTAACTTACAAAACCTAGCCTAAACACATTCACAAAGTATATATTGTTTGTGAAAAGTTCGACGCCTGTTGTTGGCGTAAAAGCTGCTTCTCTCAGATGTGGTTTCGTCAAGTAAGTGTTTCCAGAACCTGAGAGAAACCAGATGTAAACTGAAAGTGGAATGTCTATTTTAGTGTAAGTTCATTATTATTTGTGTTACTTGGCGAAATTCATGTATGCAACTTTGCAAATAACAGAATATACAGTGAACCCAAAGACCATATCCACTACAAGAGCTTTAAAACCTCAATGATACGGTGAACAACCAGTATTCGGGTGTTCTCATTGGTGTAGAAGGAGTGGGAGGACACTAAAGGGACATTCACACCAAGAACTATAACTATGATAACTATATTATTAACTATATTAGCATTCATGACAAAGGACAGTAATGTTCTTTATTATAAGCGTGAGATGCAGTTTTGTTGCCTGCCACTTTAAAAACTCAACCTGGGTGGATTCAGATTGGCTGTTTTTATTGTTGATCAGCTGGGGGGGAAAAACATTTTGGAAGGGATTTTAACAATATTGTTCTTCTGTGTCGTTATAGATGTGATGTAAACTTCCCTATTCTCACATAAGAACCATTATTACAACTTTATCATAATAGTTATCGTTGTTGGTGTGAACACTCTGCTGAAAAAACAAACAAACAAAACAGCTAAAACCAGTCAAAGCTGGTTGGCTGGTCTTAGCTGGTCTAAAATGGAAGCAGCTGGTTTTAGCTGGTCTCCTGATTAGCAAAAGAAGTGGTCAAAATTCCACTAAAACCAGCCTGCAAACCAGCTATGACCAGGCTGGAAGACCAGCTTAATCTGATGCTCTGTTTACATTTACAAATATAACTCATTAAGAAATAAAGGTAACTATTCAGTTTCCACTAATGAAAACAATGTAACACAAAAGCTGCTATACATTAAATGGATAGTTCAAGCAAATAACAATTCTGATATTATTTACTTACTTTTATGCCATGCCAACCCATTAATATTCACTTCAAAAAACAGGTATTTGACAGAAATGTCCTGAGGGAGCTTCCATCCAATGAAAGAGGACTACCATAAAATAGAAAATTAGACGACAAAGAATTAACTTGACGGAGCTCAATATAGTAGTCAATATAACTTGTGAATAATATCTTCTGAAGCAACAATTTTTTTATGACACTGAAATGAAAGTAATTCACTAAGAGCATATTTGTCGTTACTCTCAAGTTTCATTCGCGGGTACCATTGATTCAAAAATGGCGCGCTCGGAAGCCTCACGCAAAGGTTCACGTGTCACGTGATCGATCGCGACGTGGTGCCTTTAAAAACGCGAATTGTTTTTTTTTGTTTGTTTTGTTTTTTGAGAGCAAAAGCCAATACGAAGATTATCAGTCAGTAACAACTAAAAATTTGAGCAATTTTTTTTTTTTTATTAATTATATATTGGCTTTTTCAAGTTCTGCAGAGATCATGATTCTGACTGTGACCTTTAGGGACCCCATAACACCACTGGAAAAACAGAGAAGCTCAACGATTATGAGAGAGCAGGCCTTTAATTATGCTGGTTTAAAGGAGGTGCCATGTTCCATGATAGTTTCCATGATAGTTTGAAGTATTGCACATAATAATTTGATAAAGATCTCCAGCCTCCACTGCAGTGACTGATAAGGTGATCTCAAATAACAATTTGCACACCTTCGCTTTCATTTTCTTCATGGAATTGTTCTTATCTGGTGGGTTGAGTTGCTCATTAACCAATGCCATCAATTTTGCAAAATATGATTATATCATCAGTGTGGGTACAGAAAAATGCATGCGTGAATTGATGTTTGTTCAGAGAGATGAGGAGATGACAAAAGGGGTGTTTTTTTTTTGTTTGTTTTTTTGAGAGTTTCATTGGTGGCCAGTGTGGGCAGTTGCATACAAAATTGGCACACAAAAAAAAAAAAAAACCTTTGTGCCTTTTAAGGCAAAGGTATGCTATTAGCAAATAGTAGAAGGAAATAGTGTTTCCACTATTCTGTTCTAGATACGTTTCGGAGAAGCTTGTTAATCTTGTCCTGTTCAATAACACCAACACATATAAGTGGTTGCTTACCTCACTCCCATGGCAAATCTATTTATCTTTACCACTTTAAAGAATTAGATGGACTTTACGCTGAAAAAAATTGTGTAGGATTCTGTTTGCAACAATTTTCACTCAGACATTGCTTGTAAATTGAGCATGTTCTCTTGTAAAACATACTCAGAAATCCTGTTTTATTTACAACTTGTAGTTGAATATTAGTTGCAGTACATCTTCATGTCCCCATCATAAATGTCTTAATGTATCAGATAAAATATTAAACTCACAATTTAGGATAATTCAAATCATATTTATTTTGTTTTATCACGGTTTCACTTATAAGTGAACATGCATTGTAATATTTGTCATGTTCTCAGGTGCTATTTCTAATGTGAAAAACATATTATATTCAAGGTGTTTAATTTTTAATTTCTCTTATCAAAATGTTTAAAACAAAATTAGTTTTCTTGGAAATCTCAATCAATGAACTTTCTTGACCAGGTCATATTTCTGCATCTATCAGGAAAGGTTTCAGAGGACAAATAATTCAACAGCACAGATGCACTTGATTTCTAGAAAAAATGGTGAAAGATGACAGCAAAAAAGCTAAAGAAGACCAATCACAGATGTCTGAGGTGCAAAGGGGAGGGGCTGGTTTGAGTTTAGAGGTGGCCTTGCTAGATCTCACCCACATGTAGGCTTCCACTGGTCGATGACACCTCTGGTTGAGGTGGCGATGCGTGTTAATGCATCTCTGTTGACTTGCTCGCGGCAGGACACAGCCTCCACCTTGATCGCATAGGTACGTCTTTGAAGGTTTCTGTCAGTCAGGCTCATCTTCTTTTCCATCTTGCTATTTCTCATCTTGTCTGCTGTCTGTCTGCATCTTCCCCTCCTCCATCACCAAGTGCAGTGCTTTCTATATCTGGAAAGACATCTTTTGATTACAAAAGCATCCGTGAAAGTGTCTGATTGTGTGTGTTGAGGTCTTTTCTGACTGCAGGCCCGGAGAGGATGTGTCACTGAAGACAGGTTTTCCCCTGTTACTCATGGGCCTCTTTCTCTCGCTGTGTTTCTTTATGTGGGCCTGACCGTTGCACTTTTGCAGTTTTCTAAAGTTATCACCTGCATTTGAGTGTCTGTTATACAGTCTATTGGTTTCTTCTTCACTAGTGGTTGAGATTTATGTTAATAGCACTTTTTAGATTGTTGTGACCAGGGCTAATGAAGGGCTTTTGTTGGACAGTAGTCTTTTAGATCTGATGTACTGTAGTTTCGTACAATGAAGGAAAAGATTCAGTTTGGTTATGGGACAGAGTATAACCTGCGTTTCATATCCAGACATTCACAGGCCTGCATGGCAGGTAAGTCAATTGCTCATTGCACTATTACCGAATTTACAGTCATTTTAGTCAAAACTGCATCGCAATTACGACACATCTTCCTCAGTTTCATTCTTCTTATTGTCACGCTCAAATGAGACTTCAACTGCACCAGGGCTTTAAAAGAAGTGGGCAAAGAAAGAATAAGAACTAGTGAGATATCGTTCGCTGTTACGCTCTTTGTTTGGCGTACTGTAAAACTTAAAAAAAATTCAATATGCATTTCATTTAGCATTAATATTGTTAATTGCACCTGTTGTCATAGCAACAACTTTCAGGTTTCTGCACTTTTTGGCCTGGTGTTTTTTTTTTTTTTTGGAGTTGCTAGAGTGACTGAGTTTACAATAGCTATAGAAAATGCGTGACATGGTTAATTAATATTTTTATAGTTTTCTTTTTAGACTATTTTAGATTGAGAATTTAGAATATGTTAAGCATGTACGATATGCTTTACATAACTAGATTCAGCTTCAATTATACATTTCCAGTGATTTCTGTAAAGCAAAAACTTAAAGCAAGAAATTCGTTTAGGCTGGTAGCTTTGGCGATATGATATTCATTTTTGCATGTCTAAGGACTAATAATGGCATATTATATTCTAAGCTGCATTTTCAGTGTAGGCTAGATTAAGTACAGTAATATGACTCACTTTTATTTATGCCACACTAAACTATTAATATTATAGTATAACACATGACTCATCTAGCTTTTTCAGAAAAAAAAGGTACACGCACACAAGCTAATGCTACAAACAAATGTGCAAAGGATAAGTAGTCTATTTTGTTGGCAGCCGAGTATATTCAGTTTTAAAGGGATCGTTCACCTAAAAATAAAAAATTAAATAAAAAATGTAGTCATATACGTACACGCTCATGTCATTCCAAACAATGTCTTGTACATTGCACAGCTGCACAATGAAAACCAATGTAGTTCAATATGTTTGAACACCAGTGCTCTTCAACGACCTTTTTTTGTGAAGAAATGCAGAATGTCATGAGCATGAGTAAATGACGACAGAATTTAAATTTTTGGGTAAACTATCCTATTACGTTACTTAGTTCCAGATCACATAAGCTGTGTTAGCCAGAAATGTAAACTACATTATGAGTGCGTAAACTCTCAAGTCAGTTATGAAAACGAAATCACGCACCTGTTTGGTATAATGCCTCACAATATTAACGTTGAGTTGTTTCAGTTGTTTTTACATGCTTGCTGTGTGTGTGTGTGTGTGTGTGTGTGATGCGTGTGTGTGTCTCACTTTTAACCAGTTCAGCATCAATTCTAGTAATTAGAACATCGAGCATCGTCATCTCAGTACAGTGTGTTCCACACAATCCGTCACCGTTGCGTCCGCGCTGAGAAGGGAGTGATCGTATCTGCATAAGTTTTTGCAGGCATTTGATGATCTTCGACTTTCTTGTTCGCGCATTTGTCAGATCGACAACAAAATAGACAATGGACCGCTCATACAGCGTCAGTGTGCGTCTCGAATCTTGTACATCTCATTACTGTCCATATACGGCCATCTCATATTCCAGGACGGTCATGTTTCTTATTTGGAGTGTTTTTCTTTGCATGCATTACAAGATCGAGTATCTTGTTCGCGCATTTGTCAGATCGACAACAAAATAGACAATGGACCGCTCATACAGCGTCAGTGTGCGTCTCGAATCTTGTACATCTCATTACTGTCCATATACGGCCATCTCATATTCCAGGACGGTCATGTTTCTTATTTGGAGTGTCATTCTTTGTACGCATTTCCAGATCGAGTATCAAACCCGTTTTTTCCCCACACAGTCCGCATCACTTTCTGCGCAATTGTGAGGAATTAGAACGCAGCTGACATGTACTGTAATCAAACGCTTCACCAGACACCACATCACACTGCTACTACAGTAGATGCATATCTAAACCGACCTACTGTATGGCTTTGATACTGTTGTTGTTGATCAAACAAACTTGAACTCTTACGAGTCTCCGCGTACCGGCATTAGTCAGAGTTTCACATTCTGAAGAGGTCTGTGGCTTCATCATAAAAGCTCCACAACAAAATTTCAAAGGTGATGCAAAATGTGAAAGGCCCTTTGCCGCCTGACATGGCCAGACATGTCCGCCTCTGTGTTGTGCCATACACAGATAATGCAATTCCAGTTCATGGTTGAATGTATTGTGAGACAGAAATGATTAAACATTGCTTAGAGTTTCATTTTGTGAATTAGATTGTCTGCCTAATGTATGAAAGTAGGTTAGAGGTGTTGTGACGCTGATGATTTCAGAAAAAAACCCTACTCGATTCTTCTGAATATGTCTTTCACAATCTCTGAAATTAAGTCAAATGGCCTATATTGCTAAGTGTATTTTCAGTCTTTTTTTCGGCCTATCTGTCTGAAAGCCATGAGGTCTCTTTTTTAGTTTTAAAACAGCTGAACGATGAAAGGTTTGATCAGTCCTCGGATGCATGTAAAAAAAAGTCTGGTTAAGATTGATCATCTTATTCATGACTGTTGGATGTCTAGAGATTGGTATCATCTGCTCAACGTATGTGCCATCAAACGAGCGGACAAGAATAGTTTGAGTTGGGGAAATGTATTTGGACTATTAATGATCTTTTTATTTTATTTTTTTTAGATATCCAAACAATACCCAAGCCAGACACATACATAAATTGAATGAATAAAAAATTGCCAATCAACCTGTCAATAAATAAGTAAATAAACAGATAAACAATTAAATTGATATTTTTTTCATTAATCAGAGAGATGGGTATTGTTGTCTACGGTTAAAAAAAAACATTTCCATTTGTGCTTATCAGTTATACTTAATTATCAATAAATATAACTAAACTATTGATCCATTTTTTTCAGTGTTTTTAAATGATTTTTACTTTTTTGCGGGGGATATGTGATACATGTGTGATATATATTAGTATTAAAATTTGTTTTTAATAATATAGCATATTACACAAAACTGTGTAATTTATATAATTCAATTATTTTAATATTTTATAATTTCCTTGGAGATTAATTTAAGATTCTTAGATTTTTACTATTTTCGGAGTTGTTTTTCTCTCTCTACTTTTCTTTTGCGTCGACTATTATTCCTCATTGTCCGTTGGCAAACTTAACCTCTGTTTTTTTCCCCATCTAAAGGCTGACATGAGATTTCTCATCTCGATATCAAACCCGATCATCTCACTTCAGCTGCACCTTTCACTCTTTGAAGATGATCCGCATTCATAACCCTCACCACGTGCCATTTCTGCATCAGACGGAGCAGCTCCGCCAGGCAGGAACCCTTTGCGACACGCTTCTCACTGTGGAGGGCCTTACATTTAAAGCCCACGCTCTGATACTAGCGCTGGCGAGCAAACGGCTGAAGCGTCAGTTAACAAACCAGCACGGCCCAGGTCCAAGGTACTGCTGCATCATAGACAGAGTCTCTTCTCACACCTTCAAGCAAATCCTGGACTATGTGTACAGCGAATCGCTGGAGGTGCCCAAAGATGATCTTGAGGAGCTGCTGAAGGGTGCCGAGTACCTTGAGGTGGAGTCTTTGGTAGAACAATGTCAAGCACAACTTAGAGATCCAGATTCCCCAACTAAGACAGACACGAAAGTAGCAAATTCACTCCGAGATGACAAAGCACAGAAGGACACTGAGTTGTCTAAAAGAAGCCACAATTTGGATGAAGACCACCTTGATTGTTCTTCAGAAGAAGAACGTTCTTCCACCAAGAAGTCGGTCCACCATGCACATAAGAAGAGCTGTTCTCCAGTGTCTCCTCTGCCTCCCATGTTCTCCAGAGAGACCATCATCTCCTCCAGCGCTCAGTCTCCCACCCCTCGCCTCTGCTGGCCGCCAGTCAGCCCGTCTAGGAGCATGGTGTTAAACTGTAGAGAAATTATGACCTTTCACTCCCTTCGAGCATATCCCTACCCCACACCCATGTACCCCTTCCTCCACCACTCCCTCCAGCCACAGGTTTCCTCCTCACTTATGGGTTACACGGGGTTGCTTCACCCCTATCACCCTCTCATACACTCTGCTCCGTTGACTCAAGACAATCCCTTCATTCCTGGTCTAAAAGGAAAGACCACCTCTATCAGCACAGCTTTAACAGTGTCCATGTCGGAGGATCAAGAGAGGTAAGAAATGACACATAGATGACACTTACAATGTATGAATGTTATTGGATTAGATCATTTATCAAACCGTGTGGAGTTGATTTTATAGACAGACAGCACGAGCACAATTTACAAGGATTTTTCTAAAAGTTTTTTGGTTTTAAATGATAAAATGTTCAAGGCACTTCACATCTAATGTAATGATATTCATACATCTTATTTGTGGCTTAAAGAGATAGTTCACCCCAAAATAAAAATGATCTCATCATTTTCTCCACCTCATCTCGTTTTAAACCTTTGGTGGAACGCCATAAAAGATATTTTGAGAAATGTCTCCCATGTCTTTTTTTATGTTCATACAATAGAAATCAATTGTAGCCAAAACTGTTTGGTGAACATCCTTCAAAATATCTTCTGCAGAAGAAAGTAATACAGGTTTGTAACAAAATGAAGGTGAATAAATACAAGAAAGTTAATTCCCTTTAAGTATTCAAATACTTGTTCAGCCCTCTGCATACTTAAACATTAAACAATGAATGTTCAATAACAAAATTATATATTTTTTAAACGTAGAGCTTCAGAAGCCACACGACCATCATCTTTTCCAAGAAATCCAAGGTTAAAAGACATCTGAGTGTTGCCAGCATGGTGAAAGAAATCTTTTTTTTTTTTTGTATAACGATATTTTCGACAGGAAACCACATTATAGTCAGCTAATTTCAGTGGAACACCATTAGCCTGTTAAACTTGTTTTTCACCAATGCAACAACACATTTACAGTCTTAACCAAGAGCAAACACCACAAAATCTGACCTTACTTAACTTTTTTTTTTTTTCTGCTTTTGCATCAGTTAACATCACCTCTCATTAAATATGTAATATTTAAATATTTAAAACCAAAACTGTTTGGTGAACATCCTTCAAAATATCTTCTGCAGAAGAAAGTAATACAGGTTTGTAACAAAATGAAGGTGAATAAATACAAGAAAGTTAATTCCCTTTAAGTATTCAAATACTTGTTCAGCCCTCTGCATACTTAAACATTAAACAATGAATGTTCAATAACAAAATTATATATTTTTTAAACGTAGAGCTTCAGAAGCCACACGACCATCATCTTTTCCAAGAAATCCAAGGTTAAAAGACATCTGAGTGTTGCCAGCATGGTGAAAGAAATCTTTTTTTTTTTTTGTATAACGATATTTTCGACAGGAAACCACATTATAGTCAGCTAATTTCAGTGGAACACCATTAGCCTGTTAAACTTGTTTTTCACCAATGCAACAACACATTTACAGTCTTAACCAAGAGCAAACACCACAAAATCTGACCTTACTTAACTTTTTTTTTTTTTCTGCTTTTGCATCAGTTAACATCACCTCTCATTAAATATGTAATATTTAAATATTTAAAATTGCAAAAAAAGAAATAGCTACTACAAAAGTAGTGTCATTTTTTTCAATGTTTTATTTATTCGATTTTAAAAAGGTATTCAAACTTTTGGTGTTGTCTGTATAGACCAATATAGTGTGGCTTGATTTATTTGATTTTGGAACTGAAGTAAGACCAGTCTTAGAAAAAACTCACGATTCCTTGAAATGGACTTTTATCCTGATTTTAATTCTAAAATATTTTACTTCAATAAACTATTCTTTGTTTACACTGTGGTGCCAAGCAAGTACATGAGTCAAGATACTCAATCTTTATTAATTTTTTTAATTTCACCATTATTTACTTTTCATTCTTATATAGTAGTAAATCCTGAAAACCTTTTTAAACAGTATTGAAGGAGTTCACATGTGCACTGCAAACTTGACTACTTTTCCTTCACTATCCGCTCCAACCCATCCAAAATAATAATCAAAAATAGTTTTATACAAAAGCTAATATGCAAGCATTGTATTTATCTACAAAACTATTTTATAACATGTCGTTTTTAAGTTGAGAAACAAATTCAGTCAAGTGTGTCAAACTTTTGACGGGTATATATGCTTGCATATGTATTCGTGTGTGTGATACCCTTCTTATTCTGTACTTTCCAACGGACACATTTTCCCCAACCAGCCCCCTTTTCCACCTACAACAGTTATCTTTCTACAGGCTCCATTAAAATGAGGGGAACTAATAACAGCCTGCGGTTCCGTTGCAGTGGAATAACAGTATTTATGCAATAAAGACGATTGTGTTAGTGTTACAGAGAGTTAAGAATAATAAATATTTGAATCAAGTACATTCATCCATAATTTGAAATGTATGATTTAGATGTGCTTAGGCTCACAAAGATCTGTAAGTCACTCATTTAAGTAATTAGAGTGTTTATTTTTATTAGAGCTTTAAATTGTAAGTGTTTGAGCCAGTATAAAAGCACAGAAGCACCATGTGAACTATATACTGGATATGTTGGTGGAGAGTTTTGGAAAACAACACTTACTATCGAGGCCGAAACTGAGGGGAGCCCCCCCATTTGTCCCCGACTTTACAAACACTAAACATGAAAGTCAGTCATCTCCACCCTCAGAGCAGGATGTTCTATTTCGGTCTCATTTTAAGCCAAAGTCTGTTCCACTCCCTAATTTGCCACACACACAAACAGGTGCCACATTCAGACAGAGATCTTTAGGCTTCTTTTGCTCAATGTATGTTGAAATGAAACATCTGAGAGCAGATGCGGTATTTCTTTAGCTAAGCGCGCACAGGGAAACAGTACAAGCCACCCACACACCGTTTTAGACTCAAATATATCACATTTTGTGGTTAAACATCCCAAATAATGTGAAATTTATGAAAGCCCGTCAGACTAATGTAATATATTTGGGAGAGCATATTATTACTATTTTGATTCTAATTACTCGAATCGCATAAAATCAGATGAGCTTTCCTTCACACTGTAGATTGCTTGACTCTGGCAGAGGAAACCATTGTCTGCTTGCATTGTTTCCTGCTGCCTGAGCACAAAACCTTTGTTCCTACTGTTTTTGGTCATAGACAGAAGGAGGTGATGTAAGTCTAAATTGATTTTCTTAATCATTTAAGTTTGAATGGCAATTTGTCACCCCATGTCTACATGCGTTGGGCTACAGAGCGTGTGCGCTGATGTTTGTTTGTATATTTTTTCTTCACATACTTAACACCTCCTCATTTCTCAGTATTTTTTAACTTTGAAACATCAGGTGCATCCTGGGATACTTTTTAAAGCATTTAAGAAGTTCCTACATACATTTGTAGAATGCTTTTCCTTCACAACAGTCCAAAATGGATTAAAAAGTTATTTTTGTGTAGAAAGTAGGCATATGTGCATTCATCTAATCTACTAGTTTAAATAATTTAAGCTGAAGTGTTTATATATATATATATATATATATATATAAAAGGTTTGTAAGATTATATATTCGAAATTAGAAAATTCAGTCAAGTGTGTTTTAAAAAAACTTAAATGCTAGTGCCCTTTCTCGTAAATAATGTCACAAATGTGATAACACGTTGATTCTAGCAGTGGTAATCAGCAGTAACACCTGAAAGCGTGTGTGTGCTTCTCACTGAACTTTACCTGCTGGTCCGAATTAGCTGTGGTCTAGCCAACACACTAGAATGTGTGGAAATGCAGCTCTTGAAGTGCAACTGAACCTGCAGGTGTTAGATGACCAGATCAACAAGTGGTTTAAAAAAAAAATTAAAAAAAAACACCAGCGGAAAAGGCAGTGACTCAGTTTGAAGATATTTGTTGATGATGAATAAAGTCCTAAAAGCAATCGTCTATGCTAGTTACACATGGAAAATATGGACATCTTTGAATGAGCATTAACATGACGACATTTTCCACAGGAAGCCAAAGGTTCAAGAGGAGAGGGAGATATGCTGCAGACACTGCGGTAAACCAGCCCTGGAAAACCCCTGGAGGCCAACGACTGGGTCATCAACCTCAGGTAATATTTTGTACAAATACACAAAAATGAATCTAGACACTCTTATCTGCCCAGAATAAAGGTGGCATATAGATAATCATACAGAAGCTTGCAGAAACACGAAATGCATGGCAGTAAGTTGCAGATTTTGTCCGGGATGCACCTACTTTTTACGTAGATCACAGGAATGGATGCACGCAACAGGATGTAAATGTTGTGTATCTCTCAAAGAGCTGAAAGATGGTGGCCGTTGCCGCTCTTCCGCTTGCAGTAGTAAAAGAAAGGATAGTAGACAATGAAAAGCAGCAAGATTTATCCATGCATCTGTAAAATTGAAGTATCATATCATAGTTTGATTCCTTTGAAATCTTTCCAAAACAATACCAAGCCAGAATTTCCCATTAAAATGTTTTTTGTTTTTTTTTTACATTTATTTTTACACAGTACAATTATGCATTTAGCAGACACTGTTATCTAAAGTGACTTACAATAGAGGAACATAAGCAATTTGTTACAAAGCCAATGATATTCATTTACAACTCCATGTTTACTAGAAAGACCAGGAAACAAGCCTAGGCCAGAGATGAAATACTGACCAAAATATTCATTTTATTGATTTTTAAATCACTTTTCTTTATTATTTTTATCAACAGTTTGACTCCCAGGGAATGCATGCCTTTTAAAATCTATACTTTCAATGCAGTTTAAAGTTGCTTTTGAATAATTCATAAATAAATGCTAGCACCTAGCATTATAAATGACTTAAATGTGAATGTCATTGCCACTTTGATAATGTATTTAATTCTAATGCATTGATTTACAAGGGACTACAGGCTCACTTTCCAAATTGATGTAGTTTTCAGCATTAAAAGTATTCAGATACTTTCTGATTGTCAAACATTAATGCAATGAACTATAACTGTGGGTATTCTTCTAGGGCATCTGTGTGAACCTGAAGGAAATGACTTCATACTTCAGATAAAAAATTTTAAAAAAAAACTTGACACCAGTTAACGAAAGTAAAGTTAGTTCTGAGAAATGCTCCTGCAGCACAGATGCCGATTGCCATCTAATGCAAAAACATTCATGCATTGTAAGTTCCTTGACTGTCCAAAAACTTTTTAGGGGGTACTGCGTAGTCCCAATGGTGGTTGTGCTTTGTCCTGGTTTACATAATGTTCTCAGGACACAAAGGCAGAAGCAAATGACCCCTTGCCTTCTAAACTGGGGTGTAAAGCTGTGTGCAAGAGAGTGCTGTGTGGCTTTTGAATCGTGGTGCATCAGCACAGTCCTGCGGTCGATCAGCTCTGTGCTTCATGGTGGTTTGTATACAGTACCAAAAGAGAAGTGTTGACTTGTTCCTCTTTCATCCAAATTGGGGTTAGAGCGCTTTTTATGTGTGTGTGCGAGCGTATACACGTCTGAGCGAATGATAGTAACACATTTTTATGAGATGTTATCTTTAAGAGACTATGTAATTTAGACTTTATGTGGTATATAACACATGTGTGGGTAGTTTTAATTTAAAATAAATATAAATGTGTATCTTGTAGCCTTTTTTGCAATTAGAGGATTAGATCACGCAAAAATGAACATTGGCTGAAAATGTACTCACCCTCAGGTCATCCAAGATGTAGATGAGTTTGTTTCTTCATCGGAACAGACTGAGAAATTTAGCATTACATCACTTGCTCACCAACGGATCCTCTGCAGTGAATGGATGCCGTCAGAATGAAAGTCCAAACAGCTGAGAAAAACATCACAATCCACAAGTAATCCACATGACTCCAGTCCATCAATTAATGTCTTGTGAAGCGAAAAGCTGTTCGTTTGTATGAAACAAATCCATCATTAAGGCATTTTTAACTTTAAAGCCTACTTTAGATCATAATATTGTTTTTCCAGTGAAAAAGTCTGAATCAGGAGAGAAATATGCACAGATCAAGCACCGTTTATAAGCAAAAACAGTCCAAAACGGTGGATTTTGATGTGAGAGGACAACAGGGGATGGGCTGTTTGGACTCTCATTCTGACGGCACCCATTCACTGCAGAGGATCCATTGGTGAGCAAGTGATGTAATGCTAAATTTCTCCAAATTTGTTCAGATGAAGAAACAAACTCATCTATATCTCGGATGGCATGAGAATGAGAACATTTTCAGCAAATTTTCACTTTTGAGTGGACTATTCCTTTAACTGTTTTTTTTTT